GGGGGAGGTGGGGTGCGGGTGGAGGTGGGAGCTGCAGGAGAGGCTTTGGCAGAGACAGAAGCGGAGAGGGTTGTGACAGGTGAGGGGCTCTGGTGACGCATGGTGGTCTCGAGCCTCATCTTACATTGCCGTAACCAGAGTCAAGCTTTGTTTGGGGAACGGCTGTGTGACCTTTGGTAAGTCCCGGCTCTGTACTGCAGTCACCCTCAGACGCGCCCCACCCGGGAACACGCCTTCAGCGCGTCGTGGGACCCTGCGATACCTGTCACTCACCGCAGTCCGCAGTGACAAAGGTGCCACCGGGGCCTGCCCTCCTCGGTACGGGGTTGGTTGGGTCCCCCCCTCCCTGGACAACACCCCCCAGTTCCTTCAGCAGGCAGATGGGTTCTCGGGCTCCCCAAAGCCCCAATATCTCTGCCCTCCAGAGAGGACTGGAAGGAGCGCTGTCCACTCGCAGACTCAGGGCGTGTGGGGCTGGAGAAGCGGCTCCCACCCAGCCTGTGAATGAGCAGCTGTCAGGCAGCCTGGGGCAGGGCAGCCCGGCTTGCTGCGGATGAGAGGGAGTCAGGCCAGGCCGGCCGCGCCAGCCTCCTGGGGCTCCTCCCTCTGACCCTCGGCCACAAGTGGTTGTCGGCAGGGCCACTCGGCTGGACACTGTAGCGGCCCCCACACTGGCACCTGCAACCCGCTCTGCCATGGCAACCGCCAACCCTGACCTTGTCCCTTTCCCTACTCAGACCTCTCCTGGCTTTGTGTTTGTTCTCCCATTATGTTTATTGGTCCATTTTAGGCATACAATACGGTTACATTCATCACTGGATCTTGTACCCTTACATGACACACCTTGGTTCTTATTTTTCCCGTTCCCCCGCCCTCCCTTCAATCCCTCCACCCCTCTCTATTTAAAGAGGCTTTGTTTCCATTTTCTCATATTTTTTCCTTTCCCTTCTTTCGTTCCCCGACCCCTCCCACTTCCCCTACCCCTTTAGACCTTTCCTTCCTGTTTCACATTATCAGTTATACATTTTGATCCTTATTTACACTTTTAGTTTCTCACACCAGAGGAACTATTCAGTATTTATACATGTGTGTCCTACTAATTTCACTTAACAATGTGCATCCATTTAGCTATAAATGTCTCTAGCTTGTCTTTTTTTTTTTTTTTTTTTTTGTACTGGGGATTGAACTCGGGACCTTGCGCTTTTGAGGCAGGTGGTGGAACCAACTGAGCTGAATCCCCGGCCCTCCAGCTTCTCATTCTTTATGGCTGAGTAATATATATATATATCTTGGCTGGGCATGGTGGTGCACACCTGTAATCCCAGCACTCGGGAGGCTGAGGCAGGAGGATCACTGTGAGTTCAAGACCAGCCTGGGCTACATAGTTCCAGGTGAGTCTCAACTACATAGTGATACCCTGTCTCAAGAAAACCAAAAAAATAAAAAATCTTCTTTATCCAGTCTCCAATTGATGGACATTTGGGCTGTTTCCAAGAATTAGCTATTACAAACTGTGCTGCTATAAACATGGGTAAACATATCTCACTTTGGTATGATTCTCTAATTCTTTTTTTTTTTTTTTTTTTTTTTTTTTTTTTTTTTTTGGTACTAGGTATTAAACTCTGGTCCTTGTGCTTTCAAGGCAGGCGGCAGAACTACTGAGCTAAATCCCCAGCCCTGATTCTTTTAATTCTTTTGGGAAGATGCTCTGCAGAGGAAGAGCTGGGTCAAATGGGACCTTTAATCTTAGTGTTTGAGGTATCTCCATACTGATTTGCACAGTGGTTGCACAAGTCTGCACTCCCACCAATAATAGAGAAGGGTTCCTTTCTCCCCACAGCCCCACCAGCCTTTGTTATTGGTTGATTTTCTTGATAGCAGCCATTCTTTCTGGGGTGAGGTAGAATCTAAGTGTTCTTTTCATCTGCAACTCTCGAATGACCAGTGAAGTTGAACATTTTTTCATGTTTATTTGCTGCTTTTACTTCTTTGTCTGAGAAATGTTTGTTCATTTCAGATGCCCAGTTTTGAATTCGGTCTTCATATTCAGAGGGTCTGATTTTTTAAAGTTCTTTATATATTGTAGATAGTAGTCTTTTGTCTGAGGTTTTGGGTTTTTTTTTTTGTTTTTTTTTTTTGTTACTGGGAATTGAACTCCCGACCTTGCATTTGCAAAGCAGGCGGTGGAACCATTGAGCTAAATCTCCAGCCCTGGTTTTGTTTTTTGAGATAGGGTCTTCCCACAGTTAAGGCTGGCCTTGAACTTGAGGTGATCTTCCTGCCTCAGCCTCCCAAGTGCTGGGATTACAGATGTGCCCCACCACTCCTGTCCTCTCAAGGCTTTATGTCACATTTTTATCAGCAAATTCAACCTCCTTGTTTTATCTTAGGTGACTTTGTGTGATCTAGCCCCTGGCTCCCTCTCTGAGCCCACCACCTCCAGCCGGCTTCACACCAGATTTCTTGCTCTGATTATAAATCTACCAAGCCCACTCTCCTTCAAGGTGGTCAGCTTCTACCCTTCTTGATGCCTCTGCCCAGAATGCTCCTTCTGATCCCAAGTTCTGCACCTGGCTGGTTCCTTCATGGCCTTCAGGTGTGAGCACAAACGTCACCTCCTCCGAGAAGCCCTCCCTGCCCACACACCTCTCCCTGTCTTTCCGGCTTGCTTTATGGATTTCAGATCCTTCAAACCATCTCATACATTCTCATTTATTTGCTAACAAATCTGTCTCTGAGCCTTCGCTGCCCAGGCTGCTGCTTTGGGGGGACATCTCCTAGCATCAGAGGGGTGAATGGAGGACCCCAAGCGCAGGCCCTCCCACCAACTTTTCCTCAGAGAACTGTCAGTTTTGGGGGGGATCTTGTCTGCTCTGGGCCCTCCGCTTGGAGATAGACAGGGGGCCTCCCCAGGCAGCCCCCCATCTCCATAGCTGCCTTCTTTTTCCACCTCATCCCACCACTGTCTCCCCCAGCAGGAAGCCCAGGCCCACGCCCAGTCAGGGACACCAGAAGCCACCCTTCTCTGCTCATGGGGCCGGGAGGCTTGTGGGCTTGTGAGGCAGGCAGCGGGCGGACACCTCAGCAGTGACCAGCAGTGAGGGACCCTCCACACCGCCACACCCTTGCCCTGCCCCTGGAAGCAGGACTGGGTGGGAGCCGCTGTCTCAGGAGACGGGAGACCCCGACAACGGGGTGGGGAGCCAGGAAGTCCTCGAACCTCACAGCATCCATCCACTGGGCTGCAATTTGAGCTCCCACATGGCCCCAGTGACCTTGTGCCTCTCCTGAGATTTATTTCTCTTCCTCCTGCCCCACCACAGAGGAAGCTGGGGGTCGGAGGTTAGGAGAGAGGAGGCCAAGTTCATGTCCTCCCTGCTGGAGGCCAGGACCGATGGGGAAAAGCTCTGATCCCCAGCTGCCACTGGAACCAGGCTGGAAGAACAATTTCCCACTTTCTGGAAGGAGAAAAAATGACCTGGAGGGCTGAAGTCCCCCCTGTCTAACGCCCCCTGGGGGTCAGGTTCCTCCTGATGCCCCCGCCTTCCCAGAGGGCCCAGCTTCCCCAAGCAGCCCAGGGCCCCTCTGCCTTTCCCTGTTTCTTCCCCTTTTCCCTGGCGAAGCTTGTGTCTCCCGGAGTGCGGTGACCTTTGACCCTGATGGGGGCCACCACAGGCTCCGCCTACTGCTCACACCTGGGGAGGCCACTCAGCTCTGGAGCCGAATCAGTGGGAAACTGGAAGCAAATCTTGTTCTTTGTCTGAGCCTCAGTTTCTCCAAGGGTCCCTTTGGTCGTCGAGCTTTTTGTTCTGAGAGGTGGGGGAGAGTAGAGGAGAGGGGGAGGGGCCACCGCCCACTCGGGGGAGGGGGCACCTCAGGGGGGACAGGAGGAGCTTGCAGTGCCACCCTGAGCCCTAGCCCCTCAGCCATCTCAGATTGCCCTCGTTTTCTCTTTCCAGCGCCTCTTCTCCCACCCCCGCCCCCCCAGAGTCCCCTGACATGGAGGCAAAGACTGAGTTCACTGTCACCAGGAGACTTGGCAGCCACTCCACTCCTGGGCCTCAGTGAGGGTGAGACCAGGGTCTGGGACCACCCTGGGAGGGAGCCACAAAGCTTGTGAGCCACTCGGAGACAGCAGAGAAGGGATAAGACACTGACAGGTTGAATTTCCCCACACTGCACCAGGACGGAGCCTATTTTCTCAGCCACCCAAGTGCGGTTTTAAATGGAAAACACACGGCGTGGGGCAGAAGCCTGTGTAGACGGGGCGCCTCCCGCCCGAGAGCTTGCTCTCGACAGAGGCAAACATGTGATTATATTTATTTCACAGACTGTCACTGCTCCCCTCCTCCCATCTGGGGTCAGGGGTTCTGGGCTCCGCCCCTGGGAACATGGGGCTGTTGGGGAGTTGGGTTGTAAGGGGGAAACTCAGATCGATTACAGGTCTGCTAGGGGTGACCTGAAGGCCTGACGGAGTTTCAGTTTCCCCGTCTGAAAAATGGAGGTGACCAGCTGTCCTGGGGCAGCCTGCTATGAATGTGGTCCCCAACAAACCATGGAACACATGCCTGGCATTTCTTCGCACGTCACAGAGGGCTAATATGTGTAGCTGATCAAATATTGCAGAAATGACAGTGAGTGACTTTTGGGGTCAGACTGTGGAAGGCACGTGGCTTCCTTCTTGTTCTGTCCCAGTTCACCTGCTGGGGGGGGAACAGGCCGCCATGTTGGGAGGATGCTCAATCGACTTGTGGAGAGGCCTCTGTACCTGGGGACTGAGCCTCCGGCCAACAGCCAGGTGAGTGAATGAATCTTCCACCCCAGGAGCCCTCAGATGACTGCAGCCCCAGATGACATCAAAATGCAACCTCTTAAGAGACCTGCTCCAGAGCCTGCTCTCACTGCCACCCCAGCTGTCTCTCCCAGCACCTCCCACTGTGCCCAGTTTGGGAAAGCACTATTTTCTCACAACCGACACTTTCATCATTAGTTTTTAAAATTAACTAATCAATTTTTGGAGACAGGATCTCACTAAATTGTTACGTTGTTCAGGCTGGGTTTAAATGTGAGATCTTCCTGCCTCAGCCTCCCAGAATGCTAGGATTACAGGCATCAGCACCCACCCGGCTCCTTTGCTAACTTTCCCTCCGGGATTCCCTGCCTCCAAGCCTCCTCTGAATCCCAACCCACCTCTAAGACTCCTCACGCCCAGAACATTCCCGCCTTCTCCTCTGTCCCTAGGTTCTCACCCCATCTGCCTCAGTTTACAGCCTCCACAAGGCAGTCCCTTGAGTTTGCTGAGCCTCGGTTTCCTCAATTCCTACAATTTTGAAAAGCACTCTACAAACTGTGATGTGTTGAAAGCAACGCTGCCTTCCCTACCTGCCCCCTACTTGTTTCAGCCCAGCAATTCTCACGCAAGCTAGTGCTACTAACTCCCCAAGCACCCGCAAGTCTGTTTGGGCAGCCTCTCACCTTTCCTCCCTGCCTGGCTTGCTCCTGTTCATCCTTCTCAACCCAACTCAAGGGCTGCCACCTCTCGAAGCCCTCTGCTTCTTCCCCTGGGTGGAAGTGACCCCTCTCTCTGTCTTCCACGTGGGTACACTCCCTGTCCTCGTCCGTCTCCTACTGTGATATCTGCCTCACATCACCGATGATAACACAGGCACTCACTACATGCACATTTGCTGTGATTTTCCTGTCCTACTAGGACAGTTGGTTGCTTATCGCCGTCCCCAAACACATCCACTTTCAAACAGATCTTCAAGGCGGGCATGGCGCACAACTGTAATTCCAGCACTCAGGAGGCTGAGGCAGGAAGATCACCTCGAGTTCAAGGCCAGCCTGGGCTACACAGTGAGTTCAAGGCCAGCCTGGACTATGTAGTGAGACCCTGTCTCAAAAACCAAATGGGTCTTCAGAAGTCACTCCCCTCTCCACGGAAAAGAATCTCCATCAATTACCTGCCCTCTGCCAAAACAACATAAACGAGGCGTGACTGTGGTCTGGCGCTGAGCTCGCTCCTGGGGCCTTGGATGGACAGGGGAGGTGGGGAGGGGTGCAGGCGGGCAGGCGGGAGGCCCTGGCACCCCACCCCTATCCCCCAGTTTGGCTTTGGTCCCACTGCTGTGGGTGGGAGCAGGGGTTCCGCGTTCGGTTTTCTGGTATTTCGTTTATGCCTTGGAAGTCAGCTCAGACGGCGGGGGGTCTGGGGAAGGAAGCTGGCTGGTGGCACCGGTACCTCTGTGAGCGGTCCCTGACATCTCAATGGCTCCTCCCCGCACCAAGGGCAAGGCCAAACATCAAGAGCAGCCGGCTGGTGCCTGGGCTAATGGAGCCTGGTAAGTCTCTTCCACATGTGTGGAGCTGTTTCCCCACCCCCTTTCAGCGTCTTGGGCCTGGAGACCCCCATGGGCTGCTCTGTGGGTCCTTCACCCCCAGGTTGGGGCTGAGGTGGCCGCCTTCCCTTCTGCCGCATTGACCATAGTTACTCAGCGTCAGAGGCGCTCGCCGGCTTTCCCTTCTCCCGTCCAAGGGCGCTTCCAAGGCACTACCAGCTGGGAAGTCCTTACTTTTTGTTCCTTTTGTCTTCTGTCTTTTGAGACAGGGTCTCCCTGTGTAGCCCAGGCTGGCCTCAGACTCTTCAGCGATCCTCCTGCCTCAGCCTCTCAGCGCGGGGGTGATAGGCGTGCGCCATCACAGCCGGCCGGGAAGTCCTTCTTGCTGTGCGATCTGCACCCTTCCTGCTGCAGTGGTACATCTGCTGGGGCTGGAGGAAGGCAGAGGAGGAGAAACTCGGGCAGAGAGAGAGGAAGCAGAGATGCCCGGGACTGTCTGACTGGGGAAATGTGGGGAGATAATGAAATATGTGGCGCTCAAGTTAATTGGAAAACGCGAGCATTCCACTTCCGGGCACTGAGCCGCCCAGGCTCTCAGCCTCGCCGCCGCCCCAGTCCTCTCCCCAAATGCTATCAGCTCCTAATGAGGCTGTAATGCAATTGAATGTATGACCGACCGAATTGTGTGTAGAAAGTTACCGGGCTGCAGACGAGGGCTGGGAGGACGGAGCCAGCGGGGAGACAGCAGAGCCGGAGACCAGGACGAAGCCCGCAGAAAGAGGGCTGGGAAGAGACGGGAAAGGAGGAGGCAGAGGGGGAGGAGGAGGAGAGGACGCCGGGCCGAGAGTGGAGGCTCTGCCGGTCCTGCACGCGGCTGGGAGAAGGGCAGGACCTCGGGCCCACGGGCGGACCGAGAAGCTCTTCCTCAGGACGCAACGGGCTGCTTCTTCCGGCAGAGCTCTCGCCGGCTCCGGAACCTTCCGGGACCCCGTCTTCTGCCTAGCGCTCCACCTGTTTCCCTTCTCTTTGGATGTCTGCTCGCGCTCAGACAGACAGACACTGGCACTCGGCACACGCCAGGTGCTGCCCTGGTGCTGGGGACTCACCCACGTGGTGCTCTGGGGTCGGCAGTGACAGAAGCCATCTCAGACTGGCTTCTGAGGGAGGGTTTGTGGCCGAACATAACTTACATTTCTGGGAGTAGAGCTAAAGTCAAGGTCCTGGCACAGCCAAGCGCGGTGATAAATGCCATCTTTGAGCATTCTTGGCTCTGCTTTCTTGCACAAAGAATATCAGGGCCAACCATTCCTGGGTGGATTTAATGATGTGGCCATCCCTGAACTACCAGATGGCCAGGGGTGTTGTCACAGGACCGTACCTAGAGGGGACAGAGAAGTGAAAGTGGACTAAAAGTAAGCTTCTGTCTGTAAAACAAGAAGGATAGATTTCTTGTAAGCAAAAAATGGCAAAGTGGTGCTGGGCAACATATCCATGACAAATTAATCAGTGAATGATTAGGTACACAAATTGGGCTTTGAAGGATGAATAGGAGTTCACCAGGTACAGAGAAGAGAGAGGGTCACCTTATATGCATGTGCACACTCATAAGAGTCCGATTCTACGTTGTTTTCTTTGCATCCTGGGCTGCCCATCAGGGTCTGTCCCCATCTGTGTGTCTGCCTCATACCAGAAGGCCCAGAGGGCAGGGACAATGTCTGCCACGCTCCATCTGGGCACTGCCTGTCCATTTAGACATTTAATCAAGGCTGTCTGGGCTCTGCAGCTGCCCAGCACCGTAAGCAGGGTGCTCCCTCCCCTCCAGCAGACCTAGGCCCGGCCAGGCCGCTGTCCAGTGGTGGTGGTGGGGTGACACAGCAAGGCCCTGGGCCTCTTAGCCTGGGGATTCCACCCTGCCCTGGCTGACAGCAGGGCGTCCCTAAAAAGTCACTTGTGGATCGTAAATATAATAATCCGACATTAAAGGCGAGTTTTTTAAAAAGGAAAAACAACATAGATGAGTCCCTTCTGGCCACGAGCAAGGCACATATGGGCCACCCATCAGCCACCCCCTTCCCCCCAGGGACTTCCTCGGGAACCCAGTGGGCACTGCTGGCCTCTGCCTCAGAATCTTGGGGTGTACGCTGGCAGTGGAGCCCCTGGGAAAGGGAGCAGGGGCGAGCGGGGGAGAGTGTTCAATTTAAAGACAGCATCGAACCCCGAGTCTGAGTTGGGCCGAGGTTGAGGGTCACCAGGGCCCCCCATAAAGCTTGGGCGACTCCAGAAGCCAGTGCCTCCCCTGCAGGAGGGGCCCCCCCAAGGAGGCTGGGGATGGGACGAGGACCTCAAAAGGCAGAGGGAGGAGAGAAAAGCCGCGGGGAAATCACGTTTCGGAAGCTGCCTGGCCTGCCGTAGTGAGAAGCACAGAGAGGTCATGGGGGTCAGCTGGCCTAGGCCGGCTCCCGGCAGCCCCCTCCCCAGCGGGGCGTAGGTGGGAAAGGCCACTTTTCTCACCGGGTCCACCTGCAATCTCAGCTGCAGGAGGAGAACCAGGTGGCCTGCGTCCAAAGGGAGGTGGCTGGGGTGCAAAGAGAGCAGAGGGGCCCACTCGTCAGCGCCCCAGGGTGTAGGAATCCTGCTCCACCGCAGCCTGCTCCAGGCCCCGGACCCTGTGGACGGAAAGGCTGGGGGGGATCGGGCACTCGCAAGAAGAAAATCTGGGAGAAACCCCAAGGGGTTCGTAGCCACCGGTGTGGGGCAGCGGGTGCAGTGCTGCCCCGAGGGAGCCCCCAGTCTGGTGAGCAAGGTGGGCTCGCACAGGTCCTCCTGGCCAAGACAGATGTGGGTGCTGCCCGCCTGGAAATACAACCGGGGTGAGACGGGGAAACAGCTGGCGCTGCTGCCAGGGCCAGCACTTCTACGGCTG